TCCTGAGACCCCGATCGAGTCTGTGGATCCTCCGCATGATGCTGGATTTCAAATTTTGACGCAGACGTTGGATCAGACTCTCGGGAGGAGGTCAGGAACGTATTGTAGGGGGATGGGGAATGCCCGACAGAGGAAACCTCGACCGCGGTCATCATCGCAGGCAAACAGTCAGGTGACTGTTTGACATCGCGGGTTGTCGAGCTTGAGGGTTAGATGTCGGTGATTCTGCAGTCCCTCGCGCGGTCCGACATTCCAATCCCGAATTTTGGTGCGTCGACCTCCGAGCCCGTTCACCCCGAGCATCCCCAGCACACCACGGCCCCTGCAGACCATACCTTCGAGCCGCATGCTTTATTGTAATTTCATTTTAATTATAAAAAAAAACCAAATTTATTTTTTTACAAAATTAAAAAAAATAATAATATATTTTTTTAATAATATATATTACTTTTGCGCGACGAAACGTAAATTGTCTGGCAAAATCCTTTAAAAAAACCCATTGACAAATATATTTTAATCATGCGCGACAAAGAGTTTCGTTGCGCAAAATGTGTATGCGCGACGTATTGTTTCGTCGATCGAAATTTGTATGCGCGACGAATTGTCGCGTCGCACGAAATTTGTATGCGCGACGACTTTTTGGTCGTGCAAAGACTAATTGCGCGACGTATACTACGTCGCGCAAAGTTCATGTACCCCGCGCGACGGAAGCCTCCGTCGCGCATTGTTTTTGCAACGACCCATCTTTCCTCGCGCAAATATTTGTGCGACGGACATTAGGGTTGTCCCGAAATGTTTTTTTTTAACGAAGTTGTAATACGTCGCAATGTTTTGCGCGACGAATGATATTTATGCGTCGCGCAAATCCTTTCTTCACGAACTTTGCGCAACGGACTGTGCGCGACGAAACTTCTGTCGTGCATAACTATGTGCGACTAAAATCATTTTTGCACGACGAAGATTCCTTCGTCGCGCAAAGCTTAAAATGTTGTAGTGTGATCGAGTTGCTCCCAAAAAAAATAAATAAATAAATAAATAAAAAATCTTATTTAGAAATATTTAACAACCCAATTATTTGGTAAAAAGGGGCTGCTTAATTTAAAAATGAGGGAGTTTAGGAAGCTTTAAGAAGCAACCGGCGCCTGCTTAAAAGATAATTAATTGGTGTCTCACTGATTTAATTTGTAAAATAATAATGGAATCATGATCACAATTTGTGAGTCATCAACCTCAAAGTACTTATCTTCCACGATTTCGGTTTTGGCGAAAGAGTTTTGTTCTTCTGGAAAGAATGGAAAATAAGAAACTGTCCTCCAATTTCAACGTGTGAATGCAAAGTCTTCTTCTTTGCCTGCATATTCCTCTATATATAAGAATTACTTGAGAACTCCCTCATAATTCAAAACACAGCCACAAAGCAAAAACCAATTGCGCAATATTGTCACTGCTTAATTATAAGCCCCAAAATGAGCCTACTCAAAAACTTCTCAGTTTTTTCCATCATATGCATCACCCTTTACTTTCCAACTTCAACCAATGCAGCGCGTTTCGATATCCGAAACAACTGTGCCTTCACAGTCTGGGCAGCAGCCTCACCAGGCGGTGGAAGGCAGCTTAACAGTGGCGAATCTTGGCCTTTAGATGTGAGCTCCGGCACTACTGGGGCCCGCATTTGGGCACGAACGGGATGCAGCTTCGATGGAGCTGGACGTGGCAGCTGCCAAACAGGTGATTGTGGAGGTGTCCTCCAATGCCAAGGCTATGGCCAACCCCCAAACACCCTAGCAGAATATGCACTTAACCAATTTAACAACTTAGATTTTTTTGATATTTCTCTGGTTGATGGGTTCAATGTCCCAATGGACTTTAGTCCCACGGACAATGGATGCACTAGGGGGATACAATGCACGGCTGATATTAATGGGCAATGTCCTAACGAATTGAAGGCTCAAGGAGGCTGCAACAACCCTTGCACCGTGTTTAAAACTGATCAATATTGCTGCAATTCTGGGAGCTGTAGCCCTACAGACTTCTCTAAGTTTTTCAAGGATCGGTGCCCGGATGCTTATAGTTACCCCAAGGATGACCAAACCAGCACATTTACATGCCCTACTGGGACTAACTATAGGGTTGTGTTCTGCCCATGAAGTAGGTGTTCACTTCGCTCTGCTATAGGAGACATAAATCTGCTGGCAATAGCTAGCTGATAATATCAATTGTATGTTTGTGATGCAATAATTAAAAGCTTGAGGGCTTTGTCACAGCATGTACAGTGTACATGCATTGTGTAACACAATATCAATAATATTAATGTACTCATCCAAGGTACTATTATAAATAGTTCGCTCACGAGTCTTAATTCAAGTGACATGAGATAGATAGCATGACGATAGGAGTAAGTTCAAACTCTATTGTTCGAAAAGAAAAACATAAGAATTTGGAGAATGACATTTTTCGCACTTGCCCTTGATGATAAGAGTCCAATATCCTCTCCAAATGCTTACTCTTAATGCTCATTAAGCCTAACTTTAGAATCTTTTACCCAAGCCGTTAAATTTCATAATTTCCTACCCCCACGAAAAATAATCAACTAAACATATAAAATATTTGTTAAAAAATTATGTGTTATTGATGGCAGAAATGACGGATTTCCCACCTCCACCAAAAACAAACCAAACCCAAGAAAATCAATCCAACAAGAGCGAACTTACCTCCTAAAGTCAATTAGCTTGAGAGATTGTGGTGGACATTAGAGAAGACTCTTTGGTGGTAAAGACTCCATCTCTACCGCAGTCGAGGAACACAGTGAAGGGCTAACGACAATAGAGTGAGTCTAGGGTTTTTGGATCTTTGTAATTGTGGGTTTGCATAAGGTTGGAAGAGAGAGGGGTGAGGTTCTGAGTTTTTCAGAGAGAGGGAAACATCTTGAACTAAAGTCGAGTTCTAACGCATCCAACAAGTAATTTCAAACCAGTTCTAACAATGCACTCTGTTTTGAAATCGAAGACTCTTAGTGGTGGAGACTCCATCTCCACTACTATCGAGGAACACATTGAAGGGTTGATGAGAATGGAGCCAGTCTAGTATTTTTGGATCTTTGTAATTGTAGGTTTGCGTTAGATTGGAAGAGAAGGAGTGAGGTTTTGAGTTTTTCAGAGAGAGGGAAACATCTTGAACTAAAGTCGGGTTTCCAACGAGTAATTTCAACCCGGTTCTAACAATGCACCATGTTTTAAAAACTAACCGTCCGATTTAATCCGATGGCTCTTAGATAACCCACACAAACACCCCTTACAACTTACCACGTATTATAGCCTCTCCCAAATTTCAATGCTTACTTAGTAGGAAGTCGATATCCTACCAAACTCTTAAATTTTAAACCAAATGGGCCCCTAAATGTCTATGAAGGCTTTGCATTATCATGTTAACTTATGAAATGATATATTTAGATAAGAATTAACATAATTAACTTATGTTTTAGACTCTTAGTTTAACAAGACTCTGGTAAATCCAATATATATTTTCTTTTCTTTGTGGGCACATATTATATTTTGTATTTTTCGTCTGATATTATAGGGCCGAAAGAGAGACATCATCATGCTTGATGTCTTATTGGATTAGTAACTCTATACAAATGTAGCTAAGTGTGTCTCATTAATTTAATTTCGTAGAATAAAATTCCACATCATTGACTTAATTTACTTGCTTTTTTTTTTATTCCTTGCGGAAAAAATGGAAAATGAAAAAGAAATTTCCCTTTCCTTTCCATGTGCAGTAGTGGACATAGACTAGAAAACAAAGAAATGACCTAAGAAAGGGATGCCATTTAAGAAAATGACTCACTTTATTTGTGTTTTTTATGCAATAAATTTTATATTTATTTGTGTAAATGTATTGATTTTCTATGAATATAAACCTTATTTTTTCCAACAATGAAGTGACAATGTTGGCCTCAAATCCCTTCGTAATCAAAGGTGAACCTTGAGAAAAATCGACCCACCACAAATAGAGGGTAGAAATATTGCATGTAATTGAGTGTGGAAAAATATGCCAAAATATCTTGTCTCCTTGCGAATATAGGGGAGGACCTTCCTTTTATTTATTTATTTTTTTCTTTTTTTCTTTTTTTAAATCATGTGCAACGTAAGGAAACTTCCCTTTTATATATTGATATGGAATGATCATTAAGACGAAGCAATTGACCCTTCACTGTTTGGGCAGCAAAGTCTTGCCGTGATTATCTATTGGAATAATAATATCGCATTGGAGACGTGTATTAGGCCAAATTGACCAAGACTATACTTGCATCCAAGTTCGAATGTCCGTCCCTTTAGATTTGATTAATTTAGGAATTGATTACAGTTGATCCAGTTGCTGTATAAAAAAAACATTCTTATTTTGAAATATTTAACAACCTAAGTGTTTGGCAAAAAGAGGCTGCTTAATTTAAAAATGAGGGAGTTTAGGAAGCTTTAAGAAGCAACCGGCAGTTGCTTAAAAGATAATTTGGTGTCTCACTGATTTAATTTGTAAAACAATAATGGAATTATGATCACAATTTCTGAGACATTACCTAGTTAGTCATGAACCTCAAAGTATGTTTCTTCCACGATTTCGGTTTTGGCGAAATAGTCTTGGTCTTCTGGAAAAAATGGACAATAAGAAACTGTCCTGCAATTTCAATGTGAAACGAAGTTTTCTTCTTTGCCTGCATATTCCTCTATATTCCTCTATATATAAGCAAAAACCAATTACGCAATATTGTCACTGCTTAACTATAAGCCCCAAAATGAGCCTATTCAAAAACTTCTCAGTTTTTTCCATCATATGCATCACCCTTTGTTTTCCAACATCAGCCAATGCAGCGCATTTCGATATCCAAAACAAATGTACCTTCACAGTCTGGGCAGCAGCCTCACCAGGCGGTGGAAGGCAGCTTAACAGTGGCGAATCTTGGCCTTTAGATGTGAGCTCCGGCACTACTGGGGCCCGCATTTGGGCACGAACGGGATGCAGCTTCGATGGAGCTGGACGTGGCAGCTGCCAAACAGGTGATTGTGGAGGTGTCCTCCAATGCCAAGGCTATGGCCAACCCCCAAACACCCTAGCAGAATATGCTCTTAACCAATTTAACAACCTAGATTTTTTTGATATTTCTCTGGTTGATGGGTTCAATGTCCCAATGGACTTTAGTCCCACGGACAATGGATGCACTAAGGGGATACAATGCACGGCTGATATTAATGGGCAGTGTCCTAACGAATTGAAGGCTCCAGGAGGCTGCAACAACCCTTGCACTGTGTTTAAAACCGATCAATATTGCTGCAATTCTGGGAGCTGTGGCCCTACAGACTTCTCTAAGTTTTTCAAGGATCGGTGCCCGGATGCTTATAGTTACCCCAAGGATGACCAAACCAGCACATTTACATGCCCTACTGGGACTAACTATAGGGTTGTGTTCTGCCCATGAAGGAGGTGTTCACTATGCTCTGCTATAGAAGACATAAATCTGCTGGCAATAGCTAGTTGATAATATCGATTGTATGTTTGTGATGCAATAATTAAAAGCTTGAGGGCTTTGTCACAGCATGTACAGGTAGTGTACATGCATTGTGTAACACAATATTAATAATATTAATGTACTCATCCATAGTACTATTATAAATGATTCGCTCACGAGTCTTAATTGAAATGGCATGAGATAGATATATAGTATGATGATAGGAGTAAGTTCAAACTCTGTTGTTTGAAAAGAAAACAAGATATTTGAGGAATGACATTTTTCGCGCGCTCTCGCCCTTGATGATAAAAGTGTACATTTGGTGGTCATTCTTTAATTTGGGGGACCTCCCATTCTTGCCTCCAACAACAAATTTGGTACATGTTAGGAAGAGAAGAATTTGAGCTCAATAGAGGAATCTGGGCCATAATATCACATGGATGGTTTATTAACTTTGTTTTTTTTATCAAGTCTCTCGCACTAGTATGTGGGTGTGTGTACTATAAACAATCAAAGCATTTCAAAGCCTTAATTACACTGCACCTGCTATGACCCTATTGAGGATGATTAACGATCCCCACCAACTAAGCTAATAAAATCATGTGTAATGGTAATTTAGCTAATGAAGGCGGTGATTGCATATGTAGCCTTGGACTCTTGGGCTAGAAAAAGCTGAGCAGCCTGAGTGAATACCGCAAAGACCCACTCCTTGTTTAGAGGAATTGAAAACTCATACTCAATGGCTGCTTTTTCTTCTTATTATTCTCCTTTTTGTTTTTTTTTTCTTTCCCGATCGGGGTATTCATCAGTGGCCATTTGAGATTTGACTGCTGGGTTGGGTTTTTAATTGGGCCTGGAATATTGAAAGTATATTATAATGGCAAGCCAATCTCGATATTACACATTAAGGACCACCACAAGTATAGACAGACAGGTCAAGACGGATCGCTTTTCTAAATTGATGCTTTTTGTGCATCTTTGAATTCAAAATATGAAAGACCAGGCATGTTTTAGGGGGATTATATGAATATTGATTGGTTACCTAGGAGTTTCGAACCCCTGTTTTCATGAATGAAGGTGGAAAAACTCATCCAACCGAGCTTCTACCCCACTAGCACGTTATGTTATAATTGTTTGCACAAAAAACTCGCAAACAAGTGGACCATCACCCTCAAGTGAGCAAATAATTCCACTTTAATAATCAATGAAAAGGCGGCCTTTTTTTAAAGATGAATGAAATCAAGACATACTAATTTAAGTTATATGACGAAATTGGTTGAGTATGCGAATTGGTTGGCTTGCTCAAGAGAGTGTGGTTTCATCCCTGCCAACTGCCAATTTCCCTGATGGAGTTTTAGTACCAAAGCCAAGCATGAGTATGCGAATTCCCAGCATTACAAATAACAAACCTGTGCGTGATTGTAAGTTGTAATTCAACTAACTGATACAAACAAACAAGATAATGAAAACCCAGGAGCTACGCTGATATCCTAAATTCTAATATGAAAAAAAAACAAACATGGGAAATTTTAATGAACAAAACCTAGTTCATCACTCTAGGATTGAGATATATATTGACTGTGGTATGTAGGGCTTGAGAATGTTATGTAAATCTAAGAAGAAGAAGAAAAGAAATTGAACCCCTGCTGAGCCACCTCCTCTCCTCTGTATTCAGCTAGTAGTGACTTGAGTTTTCAACTCTCAACAAGCTGGGTACTTGGCATTTGTTGGACTTTTTCTTTGTTAGTTTGAATCAGGGGGAATGTTCTCTCTCTCTTTTGCACAAAAAGCTCACTAGCACGTTATGTTAGACTTGTTTGCACAAAA